TCTGCCAAGTAAAGCTGTCAATGTGCCAAAGCTCAAGGCTATTTAATCTAATCATTATGACAGAACACTGAAGTGTCACTACATAGAGGGTACTTCTGTCACCTCTGCTGACCTAAAAGTCCACTAGCTTTAAGTAAGTCTGAGATAAAGTTACCCTCAGCAGGAGCTGGGTGATATCCACTTACTGATGTTGCCTTACTGTGGCTGACACAAGGGACCATGACTTCTAACACTATACAATATTAACAAAGATACACGAGCGGCAAGCTGCAAATGTAAATGATAGCTCTCACGTTTGCTATCTTTGTAAAATAATAACTGGAGATAAGACTGGCCTTGCTGAAGTTTAAAATGGCTGCTCTTCCTTTTTGCATTTAGCTGGATTATATTCTCTGTTGGTAAATTACCCCCTTTGGAAAGATGAATTAACCTAGAATTCCATATCAAAGCATTATTTTTGAGGCATTTTCCCTGCCCCCTCCTTCTGGTGAAAATAAATAGAGAGAGAGAGAGAGTGGGGGGAGTCTGCCGAAGTAGCCTTCAGTGATATGTAGGACATACAGGGCTCCATTCTTACAGGAGCAACACTGCAACAGAGAGAATCAGCAGCTTTCTACTGAAGTGAAGAATGAGATCACTGGGCTTTTTGTGCAAGGTCAACTTTGAGGCAAGACATATTGTGTTTAAAATTCAGTCCTATCCTCAGCAAGCACTTGAAATGCACTGTGCCAGCAAGGGAACCTGCTTGCCATTATGCAAAGAGGCAGTGGGCTTAAAGTAAATAGGTAATCTTAATGAATGCTGAGATCTGTGGAGGTGGGAGTGAGGGGAACCCAAGTCAAGTAGAGAAGGGCCAGAAACACAGGGTGAATAATCCTGTATGTCAACAAGACACAACTAACTCTCTCTATCCCAGTATGCAGCCATGTTTACAGTGAGCACAATTCAAAGACTTTCTGACATCTGACATTGTTGTTCTATTTCAAACTAAGCAAGAGACTCCAGAAAGATTCTCACAATTTACTTTTTTTATATAAGTAAATGTTGATGAATATCTGGCCTTGTGTAGAGTATGGACATATAAAACCTTGTTTTAATTACTGAATGAGATAAGAGAGGTAAATCAGCAGTGATGGTTAAGGGCTCTAAGTGATTCTGTTTCAGTCTTCTAACAATATGATATTTCACCACGTTCAAATGTGCTATTATAGAGCCACTTTACATTTGCTTATTTGCCTTATACATTGTGACTTATGTCACTGGCCCAGCTTATCTCAGATGCATAATTTAAAACAAAAGGACAGCCATTAGATGACATGTCACACAATATAGGGGTCTTGCTCTGGCCTCGTGCCTGCTGGCTGTGTCCTTTGCTTTGCCCATTTTGCTCTGTGAGACTGCCAGGACATTGAGCCTGACACATCAGAAATGCTGCTCTCTTGGTGCCCTCTTTCATTCGCACTATCACAGAGTCGAAGCCCGCAGAGATGAAGCTGTCCAGAGACTGAGCCCTGCTGGGTTGCACTGGGCCAAGATCCGATCAAGCCTCGAGGAGAGGGTCATCCTCTTCCCTGACTTCTACTTGCTATGATCTCTGAACAAGCAAAGCCAGCGTGGGTGGGTGGGGGGGGAATACAAAGCTGATAGCCATGCTCCAGGTGCAGATGGCACACTGTTTTATGTGTGGCCTCAGTGGATTATGTCAGCCAAGCTACTGGAGGCATATAAGACGGAGAGATCACACAAAAAACATTGTCAACCAAAATTCAAAGATTCATTAACAAAGGTCATTTCCATGACAGCGAATGTGAAGTCATCATGAGGATAAAAGGAGGCTGAATGAAAAAGCCTTTAAAAGAAGACAGAAACTGTAGTTTTGCAATCTTAAAATAGATTTGTACAGTAAATGATAAAGCATGCATGCATACATGATGTTGTTGACAGTGTCTCATTTATATGGCTTTTACATGACAATTTAAACATAAAATAGGATTTATGATAGTTTTATATACAAAATAAGCAAAGAGTGTAATAATAATTTAATAAAATAGTATTGTATGACATCAGCATCAGAATATTTTAGTGAAGGTTCTAATGATCTGCTAAGTGTTATTTCTACTTCTGCACAATGTAATGGTATGATCAAGCCCAACACTGCCCCTAAGGAGCCTGTGCTGCAGCAACCCTGAAAACCAATAATGGTCAAAGGTCAGGAAAGGGGAAGCAAAGATCCAAGGCCCATCCTATTGTGTGACATGTTTCCTTCGCTTGCTCGCCCCAAAGGCTTAGTGTCAGTGTTGACACTTCAAACACTCAATATCTTCACAAAACACAAAGGACACAACTGCTTGCCATCCACATAATTTCTTCCAGGAACAGAGATATGGATCCTTCCCAAAGGTCACTGCCAGCTGAAGTTTCAATGATTAAGCAAAGCTTTGTTGTTTGACTTTTTTCCTGCAGCAAAAACCTACTTTTAGGTGCAAATTGAGTTTGTTCCATATAGTGCAATAAAATTGAATCATACTTTATATGTCAACTTTAATTTGTAATGGGTGGGCATTTTGGTTTGATAACAATTTTACAATTCACTGATGGATAATCAAAATCAAATGTCAACAAGAAAAAATATATAGTTAGATAAAAGAACCCATCATCATCTGCACAGAGATTACCTTTTTTTTAAACATAATGCATATCTGAATATATAGTTTTATCGTTGCTTCTGACAAAGACTAATAATACAGCAGCAGTGATTCAAACAGTAATGATATATAAATGTGCAAAGGGCAGTTTGAGTGGGTGACTATAACACACCTACATATGTTCCTTAAGTTTTTCTTTTTTTTTTCTGGTAAGGATTATAGTTTTCACAAGAACTTTCCTTGTCCTGCCACTCTTGAACTCATGAATACTGTGCCTACAACCATTTTCAAAAGCTCTGCTGTTGCTGAAGCTACTTGAGCAGCTCCTGAATCAGTCAAAAGATGGCATTCTTACCAGACAACTGAGTCCACATCTCTTCTCTTACACATTTATGGAATCATCCACCAGAACACAGACAGTGTCGTTGGCTTAACTCACAAGTCCAGGATCCGATTTCCAGCAGGCACGGGTGACTGGGGAAACATTGTGGTTAGCTTCCTGTTTTTAGCCTGCTGCTGTTGGAACTCAGATGGATTTCCATTTTCTCCGGAATGTGTTTCTGCTTCTAAGGCAGTGATAAAACGTCTTATTTTATGGATTGCTGATTACGCACTGTACCTTGATGTGTGTTCCAATACCAGTCGTACCAAACACAAAACTAGAAGACCCACCATATTTACACTTTCACTTAATTTTACATTTATTTCCCATTTTCCTGTTCAACTACAAACATAAAAAATAAAGAAAAATCTCCCAAGTGTGGTGGATAAATATATAATTGTTTGTTCAAGTGTGTTTTGCACAGTATGAGACCGTCCGATTGCTGCACCAAGTAGAATGCACTGCAGGCAGTCTCTTGAGGGAAGGTCTCATTTTCTGCCTCCTGCCGTGAAATATTCAGTCCGGCCTGAAATAATATGGGACTCGTTTCAAGGCTTAGCACTTTTCAAATATGCTGGCAATAATGGACAGGGCATCAAATGAAGCACAGCCTCTCATAGCAAGAGGAACAGAGGTTTTGAATCCGCAGCCAGGGTTTCACATAACACCATAGACAGCTGAAGTGCTGTCTACATGTATAGCGTAGTGATTAGTTATTGGTGGGATGAGCCTATGAATTCTTGCCAGCACTTGAAATACAAGCATAGTGTATGAGGTGTATTTGATTTCAGAATATAAACAGTGCAATTTGTATCATAATACTACTTCCAAATATTTAAGTTTGGATATTGTTGAGTGCCAGATTATATTTTCACATTCCTGTTATGCTTTTGGTATCTCATCACAGCATCTGAATTGCATTCAGCCTAAAAGAAAAGAGAGGAAAATCAAGAGATGGAGTGAAGAAGAATGTTTTAGGAGGGAGTTTTGGTGAAAGGATTCAATGATTTAGGAATCCCACATCTACTCAGCCTGCCCTTCATCTCTAATAATCAAACTTGGCCACAGAATACCCCCCTGAATGGAAAAAAGAAAGAGAAAAATACATGTTGCCTGTCCGCCTCTCACTCATCTTTAGACTGCCAGTCTTGGGTCTTCCTCTTGAAGTCTTCTGTCACATTTATGGCTTCAAACAGTAAGCATATCCTTTTTTTAACGGACTGCCATGTCTTTAAAGCTAGATATCTTTTTTGTACTACATTAGCATGAGATGAAGGGCCGTGTGTCTGATGCAAAGGAAGCCCTGAGAAGCCCGGGCCACAGACACTATGAACTTGTCTGTTGATGAACACCAAAGGGCAGCAAAACATTTTAACCAGCTATGGCTCAGGCAAAGCATGAAGTCTAAATGCATTCTTGCATATTCATCAGCACTCTTATTTCAACTTTAATACCAAATAGGTGCTTGAATTTGATGTATATGTAATTTATATACACGTGGGTTCAGTAGTTATAATTCATCACACAACATTCACAAAATATAGAGCACACTGTATGGACTGTGCTTTGAAGAATCTACAGTCTGTACGCCCAGCAGACCTCAGGACCTCAGTGACACCTCAGCACACTGCTTGTGCTCAGTTATCTGTAATTGATTAAACTAACAAAGCTAGGAAACATAAAACATCTGCCATCAGCAGTTAACTGTAGTAGAACAGAACAGTTTAGCATTTGGCAGCCCTCTTCAGAGGCCAGGTATCATGTAAAGAAAAAGATAGATCTATCTATCTATCTATTGATAAGGTGTGTGAATGAAAAGGGTCCTGACAGCAGGGAGCATCATATATAGTATAAATACTGACACATAGACTATAACACACTCAAACAACAACAACAGACAAACAAAATAAATACATGCATACATCAATTAATAACTGATTATATTCTTCAAAAAGTTTCGGGTTTGACTGAGCGGCGCCGCAGCCCGCGACTTCCACAGACAGCCATCCAGCCATCCAGCCTCCCAGCCAGCCATCCAGCCTCCCAGCCAGCCATCCAGCCTCCCAGCCAGCCATCCAGCCAGCCGGTGTTTCCTTCCTGCTGCAGGCCAATCCGCTCATTGTCGCCGTGTTGGGTTACAAGTGACAAGGGCCTTGTCTGAACCACGACTTTTACCAAGATAATATTACAGGTAGGTGCAAGCCACGGGCAGTGTCACAATCGATACACAAATCAAGCATTGAAAAACAAGACCGTGACCCAGAAATTGTCTCTTTAATCGTGTCACCGTGCTCGTTTTCAGCACTGAGTGATAATGGCACCTCTCACTGTCCTTAGCATTTCAAGTCCCCTCACCGCAACCTGTAGCTTTTGGGCAGTGGAAAGTGTCCAGCTGGACGCCTTGTATTCCCTCCTATTGCTGCCTTTGTGTGTTTTTATCCGTGCACACCTGCCTGCTGATAGCTTTCAGCGGTTTTTTTTATCTAGTTGAAGGTCGGTTTACCCCTGTAATTGAGGGATTATATTAACAGAGCTGCAACCGTAAATGTGCATACTTTTAACCCACTTGTAAATTTAGTGTAAGGTAAAATAAAGTGATGGTCCACTTAACTTACAAGAATGGGCTAATTTTCTCAAAATGTGATGACTTTTTTTTTGCTTATACTGGTGATTTCCTTAGCAATATCACTATATCCAGGCAATGTTTACCTTTTTAAAAGCCAAATTACAGACTTGACCGCGTCATTGTGATCTTCTTGTTAGCACTGCCATATGTTGGAGGATTGTACTGATTCAAGTAAAGTGAGAAACTGCAGTAAAACACCAGTGACTTTCTTAACATTTGGGTATGTTGCACATGAGAAACAGACTGAAAAGTTAAAGTAGGCTTTTTGTACGTTGAAAGAAATGCTGAGTTGCAAACTGACATTTCTCTGAGAGAAGCCAAAGTCTTTTTTGCTCCTACAGGGTTTTTGTTCAGGGTTCCACTGAGAAAGCCCAGTGCAAAGTGGGCCTACAGCCAACTGGGATGGATTTTAGGGTGGAACCTGAACAGATGGGAAATAGTATAAAGGTGAATACAAGGTCAACCTGAGCTTCAGTAATAAAGCTGTGGGCATTGCTCATAGCAGTGTTTTAAAAGTTGACTTAAGAAAACAGACTGTGTGGTCAGAATAAACTCTTAAGACCATATTGGACCTTTTTTTTTCTAGGCTTCTTTTGTCTGAATTGCCACAGGCGGAAGCAGCAGATGCCAAATGGTCAAAAAATTGTTATCGTGTTTGTCTGGAAGTCAGCAGAATGGGGGTGTTGATTTCCAGTGGGTGGGTTTTGCCTTTGTCCCTGTTTTTTGTTCTAACCCAGATTTTCATGTTTAACAGGTTCACAGCTGATCCATCTCCCAGTGCACAATTGAGACAGAGGAGGTTAAAGCACTCTGAACACGTGGGGCCATATTGCAGGTAATTAATACGTCAGCTCAGTGATGAACTTCGTCAATATGTCTGTCACCATACTTACTTGTAACTGGAGTAGCTCATGTGGGATGTTGCAGTGAGTGCAGACTGAGAGTACATTTGTCCATTAGTAAACACTTCATAGTGTGTGTTGTGATTGGGGAGGCAGCGGGGCTCCTCTCTTGTCCAGTTGCAGTCATTTTCGCCCGTCACCTCCTCATCGCTGTAAAAACACTTGCTGTGGTTTGGTAGATTAACAGAGAGCCCCCTAATGGAGTAATTACACTGAGCCAAACATCTATTTTTCACCTGTGCTCTACCATTATTCTCTGTCCCCTATCCACTCCATTGGAAGTCACTTACTCTCCTTACAATGAGTTATCATTGACTGCCATTTAGACGTTCTGGAGCAATTTGTCTTACCGTGGCCACGCGCTGGCCTCATTGCAAAGAACAATCATTCTCCCTCCAATATATAAAACATTCATGGGGAAAAGGAAGAGAAAATTCCCTGCAAACAGATAGTAAAGAGTGGCTAATAGATACTATAAAGGTGACAGACAAGGAAAATAATGTAGGAGATTACTGGAGCAGGAACAAGCCTGCACAACCAGTAAGAGCTTCAGGGACTGTACCACTGGAGGGGGGGAAAAAAAATCCATGAGACAAATGTGTTAAATGGGTATGGCAGCTATTGGTGGTGGTAATTGCTGCTGTTACAAACACACTATATGTCTCAATTTACATTTGAATCCTCAACTCGCTGTATATTTTTCATATAGTCATATTTAGTTAATGATGAGACATGAGCGAATTCGGCATTTGTCTAGTGTATTATTTCAGATTGACTGTAAGCTCTTTTAATTGTTCCACTCCTGTTGTTTCAAGCTTTGTATGATTTCTTCCAGGATGCGGGATGTAAAATAGAAACCTTTTTCATCTTTTAACCTTTAGGTCACTGGCATTTTATAACATGTTAATCAGAATTTTGGGCCAAACAACTGGGAATAATACAGAATGTGAGTGTTGATACTCTGTCCTTTTAAGCCTTTGCTACCCTCATTTAACGACAATCGTTGTCTCGTGCGCAACATAGAAAGACACACAGTGCTGTAACTGCTGGTACATGATCCAACCATGAATCAATCAGCTTGGCACAGCACTCCAGTAAGCAAGCCTTTATTTTAGACAGAGGCTTGACTGCTGTGCACAGTCCAACACACATCCCACTCAGTCTCACCAGGAAGGGTTAATCACATTCTTAACTGAGTGTTTTGTTAGATTAGTCTCTCTCACTGCCTAACACAATGACAAATAACCATTATTCTTTTTCTTGCACTGATAATCGGAACAACTTAAACATTTCTTACTAGCCCAAGTGAAACCATTAATCCTCAGTGATACTGCTGATAAATGGTGACTTAGGAGTAATGGCCTTGTCACCCTAAAGAAAAAAGAGAGAAATTTTGAGCAATTAAAACAAGATGCCCATTATATTTTGTGCATCCCATCTCTTTGTGTCATCAAGAGCCATCTGTCAGTGGTAACAGACTCAATAATGGAATGAGAGTTTGTAAATTTTGTATTTACCAAAAATGCTCAGTTGAAATATTTACAGGCAGTAGGAGAATTGGTTTGGTGAGGAGAAGAAAAATACAAAATACAACTCTCTCTCTCTCTCTCTCTCTCTCTCT